TTTTTTAAATTATTACGAGGTTGTAACCATGCCGCCTTTCACATGAATGTTATCCTTTTACCTTCACACTACGGTGGTAATTTTTCCCGTCGTTGTAGTTTACTTTTATTTCGCATTCGATTCCAGGGTTAATCTTTCTGTTATCCTATCTTTTTTCTGAAATGTCCGGAAATTGCTTCCATATTCAGTGGCATTTCAACGTGCGGCTTCACAATTCATACTTGTTGTCATGCGGTAAATTGTTCTTCCTAAGGATAGTTCAGAATGGATTTACTTCGTATACTGTAGTTACTTTTCTTGGTAGTAATTTTATCATTTTAAATATATTGTCCGACTTTTTGGAACACACCCGATTTATTCTCAGCATCCATGCTACTCAAGTTGAAAGATTAGCATCACATAATTAAGCATATAAAGGTTGCAAGTACAGCTTCATACGGAATTGTAAATATTATCGACGTAACATTTTGAGTTTTAAGATTTTTTAAATTCAGTTTTTTAGATGGCACCCATATCTGATAGCATCGAAGTCATGTCCCTTCCTTCTAGCGCAATTTCCTTTATGCAGCCGTAGATGTTAGTAGAATGTTCAGATCTACAAGCTTTGTAAAACAGTAACTGGCAACGGGAAAGCAAAACCGCAAAATTTCAATATCAAGAACTTTTTAAAATCGTTGGAGGAACTTTCACACTCTTATATCAACAGTATGGCGGAAGTCTGGTCCAGAATAGGCTCGTAATTTTCATTGTTTGTCTGTGGAAAAACTCGTCACAGACGCGCTCTGAATTTGCGCAATAGATTCGATTTGATGTGGCCTAACGTAGTGATGTAAATAGTGGCAAATATTCTGGACGATGTCAAACAAGCTTTCATCAAGTTTTGAATTGTTTAAAATGCTTTTCTGCTACTGTGATTTTTTGGCATTTCTTAGCTCTGTGGGAAACGGACCTACAATTATGTCATTTAAACCCGGGGAATGGCGTGTATTCGTGCTGTAACAGTACCGCTTCAGTTGTAATTGTTGAATTAGCGAATGTAAGAAAAAATGGCTGTTTCCGGACAGTTATCCACATTCGGTGTATTGTTTCAAAGTATCATTGAGCAGTACAACTGCGACGTTTCTGGACTGTCAGCTAGCCCTCGATCTAGTTCATAAACTGAAAATGTAGCGTGTGATCCGTCACGGCGGGACACCAGTTCATGGCAAGAGTAATAAAAAGTCATTCATAAATTGAGGATCACTGTTTTACTTGTTCAGCGTTAAAAGTATTGTCCTATAACGCGATCTGAGCTCGTTTCTGTTCTGTAATATCGTTGTGCACAGCGAGGAATCTGTGGTCTGTCCGCGACATAGCTTAAGTTACTCTACAGTATTCTTAACTATTTTGAATATAAGGGTGACGCTTATTTTGTGCTGCTTAAAAACGATTCTGCCGATTGTCTGCTTACTCGCCGAAAGCCTATGCAATGCTGTCATAATGCTCCACAAACACATGAGTATTTGAGAGTATTCATCGCAGTAGGCAGTATGAAAATTCCCTTGACTGATGTGGCAATAGAGATGGCCGACCATTTAACGTGGTTTCGAGCGGGAAACAAGTTGAAACT